ACAATGAAACTAGGTCACAATGTAATCCCTCACAACATCACCATGCACAAACTTGAAAAACGCAATTGAAAAACAAAACTAGGTCGCAATGCAATCCTTCACAACAAGAACATGCATGTACTGGAAAAACTCAATTGAACAACAAAACTAGGTCACAATGCAATTGTCGCAGGTCGGAAACTAAAATTCAGTACCTTCGGTCGCTTCGCCATTTGCTTTGTCGCAGGTCGCTTATCTTCATCAGCAATTTCATCCGATCGAGTGTCCTCTTCGTCCGTCATCTTCTTCGATTAAGATACAATGCGAAGTAGAAGAATTGGGAAGCAATTGAATTGTGAAGCAGAGTAATTGTGAATTTATCTGTTTTTTCGATTGTGAATTGGCGCTCTGATCGAAGAAGAACTAATGATGACTAACGGGTAATTCGATTGGCTTTGACGGCTACTGGTAACGGAGACAGGTTATGATGGTTAACGGTGACTCCTATTAGTGGGATTTAATCTTCTCACTCCTATTTTGGGCTTTTATAATTGTTTTATTCCTATTTTGGGCTTTTATCATTTCTCACTCCTATTAGATTCCTAAATTCTTTTTTTAGTACACAGACGCCACACCAGTCCTTCACAGGCAGAGGGTCAGAGAGAAACGGACGAGAGCCAAACTCCGCCATAGCCCGACGTCGAACGCCGCCGCCAACGCCAAAGGCAGCCGATCCGCCGCGAGGCATTCAAGGTAAATCGCTACTGTTCCGCCTTCTTGCCGCCATTTTATCAAGGTAAAACCTCCATCCCTCCATTTCAGTATTTTTATTCGTTGGATTTGTTTTATCAAGCTAAATACTCTTTATTTCTTTTTTAGACAATTACGAAGTATCAATTATGATTTCCTGATATGTGATCTGTGGATATGTGAACTTTGAACTTGTGATTAGGTTAATTTTCCACTACGAAGGTGTAATTATTTTTTATTAATTTAATTAGTGAAGTGTTAATTGGGTGCAACTTGTAGCTTTTTAATAATATGTTTTATTTAAATTTAAATTTCAAGGTACGTATTTCGACATTTTGTTGCTTTAACTTTCTTTATCAATCATTTCTCTAACCCAAAATATTTGTTGTTTCTTTATCTGGATAAAAAGCGTAGTGACTATGAGGTTAGCATTTTAAAAGGCCATCCGACGGTAGCTTTTAGTGTTAGCGTTTTCAGAATTAATCAGCAATATTAAATTTTCATCCATAATGCTAACGTTAATCGAAAACATTGTTCCCAAACAAGATCTACATGTGCTTATCATTGTTCTTAGTTTTTGTTTAAATTATACAAGTGCTATGTTGATTTATTGTTCTTCTTTTCACCAAAGCAAGAGTAAATCTACTCTTGTTCATTTTATGACCCTTAATTTTAATAACATTCAACTGTTAGAATTCAATGTCCAGTTTACAAATATCATTTCATTGTTTATCTTTACATTTCAAAATACAAGTTTTCTCTTATTAAGATTGTCATATGTCTTTAGTTGTGAAGAGATCTCTTATAGTGTGATGGTATGTAAGAACATATGCCTACATATTTTTATGTTTTAATATTTTTTTTAAATTTAATTATAGTTATTTTAATAGATAATGACCACTCAGAAGTTTTGGTCTTCAAAAAAGGATTTTTTCTGTTAGCTTGTTATTTTTCAATAAATTTAGTTTAATGTTTTATTTAAAATGAATTTTAAAGTAAAAAATGAAATCAAAGTATTAGGTGTGAGGTGAAGGACCGGTAAATTTCCGATTCAAAACCGATAGGGTGTCGGGTCGAAGAGGTAAAACGAGATTCATCATTTCATTAGGTGTGTGTGTGCGTGCTTGCATGTTTATGTGTGTGTGTGTGTGAATCACAATCTAAAAATAAATTAGAAAAGAAAATTTTATTTTATGAAATTTCTAGAATCGTTAACTAATTATTAGAATCTAGTGATTCCAACGTTTGGAAATAGATAATTAAGTTCACAGGATCATATGAAAATTTCAGAATTTCTCATGAAGTGTTGATATATTTTTTTCAAAGGAAAAATATTCGATGTACAAATGATTTCCTTAGAATTTCAAGACCAACTTAGGAAGTATCTATATTGACTTAAAAAGTCAATTTTTGACCGTGATATCTTCGTGATAGCTTTCCAATTTTGTAATTTTTTTCTTTTATTTTTTCATTCTTTATATTTAAAATTTAGGGTTAATTATTGAATTCTAATTAGAAATCTTTTCTAATTGCTATGAAATAGGATGAATTAATGGTTCTATATGTTCTTTATTTGATTTGGATAAATTGATTTGAATTTATGATGTATTTATAATTTTATTTAGAAAAAACTGAAAACTAAAAAAACTTTAAAAACTGAATTTTTTTTATGAATTTATGATATATAAAAAAATTAAAACTGAAAAACAAAAAATATAAGAATTCACGAATTGATATGAATTTATGATATATTAATTTACTTTTTTCTTCTAATAATATTGCGTTAATTATTATTTAAATATAATTAGTTTACATATATTAATTTGTTAGACCATAAGGGATAAAATTTTTAGGGACTTTTTTCTGTTTCGGCCCAGGGCCATGAATTCTCGGGACCGGCCCTGTGGTTAAGTTCTAAAACAACTTCTTAAAGAGTGTTTAGTCTTTCTTTTACCGTAGCACACTTGCCTCTTTCACCTTGCTTTTCATTTGTCTTGTTTCCCCTCTAATTTGCTTTGTAACTGTGAATGTATAGTTGATATAAAACTTTTACATGGTTCCTCATTGCATCCGTCAATGTTTCTCTTGGGTCACAATTCCATCATCAAATAATATTGTCCATATACCAAATGCCTGCACGAGCATATCCAGTAGCAGGTTTACATCCTCAATGCAGATTCTCCCAAGATTTCATTTTTTAGGTTACTTTACACAATTCATTTTGGTGGGAGGTTGATCCAAGTTTTTGCCTGCTTTTGTATGTACTTAGATTAGATACCTATTTAAATGACAAACCGTTCTATTGATTTAATGGAGGATATGAAAATTGCATTGTTTTAGAAACCAAATTATCACAGACTTCACTAACTGCAGTATTGCACTGTTACAAACATGATTAAGAGCATCAAATTACACCAAATTCTCATGGACTTCACCATTTCACTTCTTATTTAAATGTTAGTTTTAGAATTTAATGCGTTATCTACCTTTTTTTTGCATTTTATCGACTTTGGAAATTATTTCAGTTGCAAGGTACATTTTCTTCGAGAATTGAGTCTTATTGAAAAGTGATGTACTACCGGGGGTGTTATCATGTAGATAATACGAGTAAAATTTTGTACTTCGGAGGAAATGAAGAGAGAATAGTAACAAATAAGAGTTACCGAGGGGCAAAATATGGGAGTGTTTTAGGAGTTCTTTTTTATTATTATATGAGAGAAAATAAGAGATTTAGGATAGAATGTGGGGGAGGTGGAAAATGGAGGAATAATAAGAAGGGATAAATCCATGTCAGTGTTAAGAGATATACACACTCTTATCTTAACTTGGGGCTTGTTATCTTCACTTATACAATATTAACCACTATAAATGGATGAATGTAGACTCCTAACACGCACTTATAAGTAGCCAACTTATAAGATATTTCATTAGGAAATTAGAGGACAAACTAAGCTCGAATATGAGATTTAACACACTCAGATCTCACTTAGGGTTAAGTCTAGAATTTATTTAAGAATCCTACCTAATTAAATACTCCCTCCGTCCTATATTTAACTTCCCGGTTTGACCGGAGCTCATTTTTAAGGAAGTGTAAAAAAAATTTGACTTTCCAAAATTGCCCTTCAACATTTCTCACTTCGGCCCTTGAATTTTAACGTGAGTATCCACAACCCAACAAAAATTATCCAGCAACTTCAAGATTATCCAACAATTTCAAGCATATCCTATCACCAATTCATCCATTCTAAAGCAACTTTCTGCATACACATTGACCTTGAACTCTTTTACTCGACACCTCCAACCATGCGATCTGGTGTATCTCAAACACACCCAAAATCAGAAAAGAGAAAAAAATCACATCATAAAAGAGAGAAAATTTAAGATTCCATTGAAAAAAATAGATCTGGGATGAAAACAATGAAATCTGAGATAAAATAGAAAATAAATGGATCTAAATTAAAACTGTTTTTCACTCTTCTCAACAAGGAATGGATCTGAAAATGGAGATGATTTAGATGCAGCGGTGTCAGCACTGGTTTCGGCCATGAGACAGAAAATAGATGCAGCATCAGTGATGGATCTATGTGCCTGCAACAAATATGAAATCTAAGGCGAACAAGAAAATGCAATCAAAATCGAAGAGGCATAGGAGAAAAGAAGATACAGAGCTAAGGTTCAAAATATTAAGGAGAAAAGAAAAAGAAGAGATGACAGATGGGAGAAGAAGATTTGGAAACAAAGGTAAAAGTAATGAAAGGGGAAGAAAGTTGTACGGAGAAATGAAAATTGAAGTGAAAAAATAGGACAGTTGACGAGGGTATTATTGTCCTTTAATAGAAAAAAGGTTGCCATTTTTAGTAATGAGAAGTTAATTTTAGGACGGCCTGAAAAGGAAAGTGAGAAGTTAATTTTAGGACGGAGGGAGTATATAGAACCTAAAACTCACACTCAAGAGAACCACTCTTTAGATATAGAATTAAGATTTTGGTTAAAATAGCTTCACACTCAAGAGAACCACTCAAAGAGTAAACACAAGTTTTTTTGCTCATTAAAATCTGATCTTTAATTAGGCCAAATGGCTGGGGTTTATATAGGGGAAATACATGGGTATTTTCTAGCTACTGATTACATGAAGACAACAAAGAGAAGGGTTGAAAATCAGCCCCCCCTGTACACGCCACATAGCTAGGGAATAACATGGGGCTGCTCAGCTCATTAGTTGATGAATAAAATTCAGGAGAAACATGGTTGATTTGTCCCTCACATGCTTGGGTAAAAGATGGAGACATGCTTCCTTTATTAGTGTGGGTTTGATTTTTCAGCATGTTCTTCACAAGTCAAGGTTAATTATCCACATGTTTTTAATCCATTTTAGGCTGGAATTTTGTGGTTTAGGTGTATGGAGGGGTTATAGGTGTTGACTTTATATTATGGGTTAAAATGAAGGTGAAAATGAAGGTGTAACTGTGTAAGAAAATATTGGACAAAAGTCAAAGTAGATGTTTTGTGATGTTTTCTCTATTATTTTGTGAAGGGATTTCTATGAATGGTATCTTAAAATAAAGTCAAGATTTTGGTGATAAAAGGGGAAATCCGGTCATAAAGGGTGATAAGAGAAGGGAGACATCTAAGCTTGACTTTAATGATTAAATGTGATGAAAACACAATGTTTTGGCTTCTCTTCTTTTGATTTTTGGCCAGGCTTACTCCAAGATGATAAAAACTTTATTTTGGTCTTAAAATGATGGATTTTGTCCATGTGAAGGAAAAGGCAAATGGAACACTAGGGTGGACTGGTAAACCTTAAATGATACGGAGTAAAAACAAAGACTAAGGTCTTATTTTACTCCCTAATTTCGGACACGGGTAAAAGGTCCAAGAGGTTTTGTTTTGGATTCAAAAACAAGATTAAAAGACTTTTGGATTTATTGGGAAAAAGTTGGTTTATGTTGGATGGTCCAAGGGTACATCATAAAGAGAAAATAGACCAGACAAAAAACAAACTTTCAGCACACTGATCCCACTTTCTTTTGTTACTGTACCAATATGTTGTGAAAGCCATGGATATATTTTTGCAGAGTGCTTCTTTGGTGGACCTAAGGTCCACATTATTTGTGGACCTTATATTGAAAGCATTGTTTTTATTGTTTTTGCAAAAAATAAAAGCTCATCGGGGGATTAAAAGAATTTGTTTACCACCCTCATGTGTAGGTCCACAAAATTATGTGGACCTTAGGTCTAAGTTCCACCATAGCATTTACCATTTTTGCATAACGTTCCACAATCATTATTAATGTTACTATAAAAAAGTGTTATATAGTGAAGGTTATGAATAAATTTTATGCACACTGCACGCATGGTGCCATGGTCCAGTATTAATTAATGCTCCACAATCATAGGTGATGTTATTGTAGCACTTGGATTTGGCGTGAAATTGGCCCAAAAAACTGCATCATATATATATATATATATATATATATATATATACAGAGTAAAAGATAGGATTTATGTGATTTTGTTTCTGAAAATTAGGCTTCCCCCTAAGTTTGGATCTAAAAATTTAAGCACTTTTCAGAGTTTATAACCTTATAAGGTTGAGAAAAAAAGCAAAGAGGAGATGAACAAGAAGGAGGTGTTGAAGCTAGCGAAGGGGTTTAGAGGGAGGGCAAAGAACTGTATAAGAATTGCAAGGGAGAGGGTGGAGAAGGCACTTCAATACTCTTATAGAGACCGCTGCAACAAGAAGCGCGACATGCGCTCTCTTTGGATCCAGCGTGTTAATGCTGGGACCCGCCAGCATGGTGTAAGAAATCTTTCCATTTATCTTTTTTCCACCCCTTGTTCTTTTCTTGTATCTGCGTACCTCTGTGTTAAATCTTGTTACACTTTTCATTTGTGGGGCGGCCACGTCGTGTTTGCTTCAGTGCTGCCTCACTTGGGTTTCAGCTGATTATCATGTTTTTGTAAATATTGTAACAAAGTGTGAGCATAGAATTAACTATAGGTGTGGTTTATGTGTGCCTTTCGCATGTCGTCAAAAGTGTACAACAACAACCCATTTGGATCCCACGAAAGTAGGGTGTGGGGAGGGTGTGTTTATGCATACTTTGTCCCTACTTGAAAGTAGAGAGGCTGTTTCCATTTTCCAAGAGACCTTCAACTCCAGATAAAAAATCACAGATAAAACACCAAACACCTAGAGGCAAAAAAGAAGTGAAAGTTCTGCAATCAGAATATCAGATAACACCAAACATACAAAGCACACAACCACAAGTATGGAAAACTACCCCTGGCCCAAGGTGCCTACCAACTATTCTAATCCTACCTCTCCAAATGCTTCTAATTCTTCTTAGGTCTACTCCTTCCCCTACTCCTTCACCAACGTAAGCCTCTTGCATCGACCTTAAAAGTGTATTTTAAACAATTTTTATGTCATTGGTGGTAATTTCTCCGCATTAGATTGGATTATTTACTGATGCTTCTTGATTAAGAGATAGATGTTGACACCACATTATTTTTCCCCTTCTACTGTGTACTCTTTGCAGGTGAATTATGGTAATTTTATGCATGGGCTGATGAAGGAAAATGTGCAGCTGAACAGAAAAGTACTGTCTGAGATATCTATGCATGAACCCTATAGTTTCAAAGCTCTCGTTGACATCTCGCGAGCTGCTTTCCCCGGGAACAAGCCAACCGTTGTCCCTCCTCTGGAAAACAAAAAGGGTCTTTCACTTCTTGTTTAACGAAAGCTGATTCTCTCAATAATTATGGCTCTGTTTTTTACTTGCAGTTTTTGTATGAATTTGTGAACATGGATTTCTTTCAAGGCTAGTGAAGTGTTTGGCAGAACATGATGATGTTAATTCTTAAAACCAGTGTCGGAATTTGAATGTTGCTCTTTGGGGCAGAAATGTTGGTGTTGGTTAGATGAAAATATTAATGGTAAGAGTTATCTTTGAATTGCATTTCAAACCGCAGAAGAATTACTAAAACTAATACCAAATGGAACCATTATATATATATGTATGTATGTATGTATCTCTCTCTCTCTCTGTGTGTGTGTGTGTGTGTGTGTGTCTCTCTCTCTCTCTCTCTCTCTCTGTCTGTGTGTGTGTGTGTGTGTGTGTGTGCGTGCGTGCGTGCGTGCGTGCGTGCGTGCGTGCGTGCGTGCGTGCGTGCGTGCGTGCGTGCGTGCGTGCGTGCGTGCGTGCGTGGGTGGGTGGGTGTGTGTGTGTGTGTGTGTGTGAGAACAAATAAAATCAAAAGGAGTGGAGACTAGAAAAAAAACTATTCTATGAGCTATTCAATGAAATTCCTCAAACTGGAAAAGTCATGGGACTAAGGAATGGTAACCCCTCTGTAGCTTTCTCGGCGGATTAAGAACAGCTCCTGGTGGACAGACTTGGTTTTGCAGTTGTTGGCAGATCGGGCACCCCCCCACCACCGAGAAAGCTACACTCCATTGGCTTCAGAAATTTCTCCATGAGGCCTCTCTCCAGGTTTCACATGCTATTCTCCTTTAACCATGAACATGATATGATTATCAACGCTTCATGCTGCGGAGATCATGGAGATTTGGCAGAACAAATTGCTATGTCTTTAAATGGTCTCCAGATTACTCCAAACACATTGACTGCCCTATCATTCCGGTTTGGGTTACCATCCACAATACCCCTCTCCACCTTTTGCACCCTCCAGCCCTCTTCACCCTGGCCTCTTGCCTTGGAAGACCCATTAAAACTGATGATAGTACCATCTCTGGTAAAAACACAAGCCACGCCAGAGTGTGCATTGAAGTTGATTTCTCCCAACCCCTACCTCCGGCAATCCATCTCAGGTTGGGACCCAAGGACCTCTCTCTTCCTCTTTCCTTTGAAAAATGCCCTTCTTCATGCCAGAGTTGCAAGCTCCTTGGCCCCTCAGATTCTGCATGTAAGAAAAACCCCGTTGTCACCGGAAATGACCCCACTCCTATCCTACCCTCTTCCTGTTTGGACGACAGCACATCAAGGGAAGCACTCTCACAGGACCCAACCACTACTATTCTCACTTCTCTTGGTCTCCCCGTGCATGACAACCTAGATAGCCTTGACAGTGAGGAAGAAGAGGTGGATATACATTGCCACTCCGATGGTGATGATGAACCATTTGTTAAAGGTAAACTTGAGCCTCTCACCCTCAAATCCCCTCCTCACACCTCTCATGTTACTCTCACCCCCAGGAGAAGCAGAAAAAAAAAGAATATTCCCCCAGTGGTATTCAAACCCGGAGGCAATGCCGGGCTAAAGGAGCCCCCCACCC